ACCTCTTGAGCCTGGCTTTTACTGCCTACATTCCTATCAGTATTCTGAGCATTGAGCAGAATGCAGGTGTTTTTACAGTAATCTAGGGCTTCTCTAGCCTAAACTTCCAAACCTTTCCAAACTCCTTCCCCAGAGAGATCTAAAGGCTTTGGAACCACGTGGTCAGGTACAGTCACAATAATGAATCCACTCCTGATACCAATTTTCTGTATTACTCACTTTCTCATTGCTGGGATAAAATATCTGATACCAACAACTTAAAGAAGGAGAGGTTTATTTTGGTTTAGAGTTTCAGATGTTCAATCTACAGATCATTGGCTCCAAGGTAAAAATGGCACAGTGAAAAGACATGGTAGTGGAAAGCTGCTCAACCCATGGTGGTCACTAAGCAGAGAAAGTGAGAGAGGGAAGGAGAATAGGATAAAAATACACCGTTCCAGGTCATGCTGCCAGTGACTTCCTCTTCTACCTCTGAAGAGCATAGTTACAAACTCAGTATTGGACTAATCCACTGATCAGTATAGCATGGATCCCTCATGATCCAATCACCTTTCAAAATTCCCTCCTTTGAACATGAGACTTTTGGGAACATTTGAGATCTAAACCAGAACACTCTCCATCATTCCTCTCTACAAAAGAAACACATTAGAGTGAGATTAGTTAGGATAAAAAGTGCAAGATAAATGTATTATATAACAACACTATAAAAGACCCACACCTAACAAACGACTACAGAACACTTCACCTGATGACATCAGAATATATCATATTGTTTTTCTAGAGTGCATATGAAATATATTATGTAGACCATAAAACTAGCATCAGTAAATTTAGAAGGGCTTAAATCATACCAAGTATGTTTACTTCATCATATTAAAAAGAAATTGAAAATCATTAACAAGAGGAAATAAAAGAAATCAATAAATGTATGGAAAGCAACACATTTCTAAATAACCAAATGATCAAAGAATAAATCATGAGATAAATTAGAAAACATGCTGAGGTGAGTGAAAACTAAAATATTATCATACCAAAACTTACAGGTTACTGCTAACGCACCTATATGAAGAACAAAGCTGGATGGGAATAAAACCCAGTAGTAGAGTATGTGTTTAGAATGTGCAAGACCCTGGGTTTGATTTTCAGCTCCACACAGGCACACATAGTTACTTATGTTTTTATAGTCAGAGATAGTGGCAGACATCTGTAATCCCAACACTTGGGAGGCTAAGGCCAAAGGATTCTGAGTTCAAGGCCAGCCTGGGCAACTTAGTGAGAACATGTCTCAGAATAAAATTTAGAAAGGGTTAGAGATACACCTTAGTGGTAGAGTACTTGCCTAGCAAGCAAAAGGCTCTGGATTCAATCCCTAGGAAAGAAAGCAAGAAAGAAAGCAAGAAAGCAAGAAATTTAAAAACAATAACCTAACTTTCTACCTTAAGAAAATGTAAACAGAAGAGTAAAATAAATCTAGGGCAATCAGAAAAGGAAATAATAAAAGACCAGAGTGGAAATCATGAAACAAAACACAGAAAAATTTTAGAAAAAGAAAAAATACAAAAGCAAAGTTGGTTCTTTGAAAAGAGCTAAAGAATTTACAAACCTTTACCTGGATTGACCAAGAAAAACAGAGAAAAATCTTATATTACTAAAACTCAGAATGAAAGAATTCACTATTCAACTTATGAAAAAATACAGATTTAAAACCAATTATGAGAAAATACAATGAATAATTATATACTAAAAATTAGATAATCTAGCAGAAATGGATATATTTCTAAAAAGACAAGTACTGAAACTGACTCAAGAACAAAATTCTAAGCTACTTAGAATAAGTAAAGGTATTTTTTTGTAAAAAACATTCCCCAAAAGAAAAGTTCAGTCTAGATGATTGTACTGGCAAATTCTACCAAACATTTGAAGAACACCAATTTTTCTCAATATTCTCCAAAAGATGGGACAGGAGGGAACAATTCCTATGTTATTCACGAAACCAGAATTACTCTGACATCAAAACCAGACAAAGACAAATGTGGTGGTACATGCCTATAATCCTAGTGCTTGGAAGGCTGAGGCACAAGGATTATGAGTCTGAGGCCATGCTAGGCTATAACAGCAAATTCAAAGTTACCCTAGACTTTATAGTGAGACCCTGTTTCAAAAAAGTAAAGCCAACTAAACAAAAACCAGACAAAAACATCATTTGAAAAAGAAACTCAAGATAGACACAAAAATTCACAATGAAATACTAATAAATTAAATGTAATGAAATAAAAAGGATTCACACTACAACCAAGTAGGATTTATCTTAGGAATGTAAGATTACTTTGATACCTGAAATTCAATTAATGAACTATTATCAATCAACTGGAGGACAAGAATCACATGTGCAGAAAAAGCATTTGACAAATCTAACAGCTGTTATTGATAAAAATCCTCAAAAAACTAGAGAAACATGTCTTCATCAATCTGATAATGGTTTTTTATGAAAAATCCACAGCAAAAAACCATACTTATTAGTGAAAGTTTCCCCTCTAAAATTAGTAACATGGGCCGAGGATTTAGCTCAGTGGCACAGCGCCTGCCTCGCAAGCTCAAGGTCCTGAGTTCGATCCCCAGTACCTGAAAAAAAAAATTAGTAACAAATCAAAGATATCTTTCCCTACCTTTTCTTTCAGTACTGTAGTGGAAATTCTAGGCAAGACAAATAGGCAAGAAAAAGAAATGAAATGCACACGATAGGAAAGAAAGAAGGAAGTAAAATTATCTCTATTAGCAGAAAATATGATTTGACATACAGAAAAGCTCAAAGAATGTACTTAAAACTATTAGAACTAATAATGAGTTCAGCAAGGTTATAGGATACAAGATAAGTAGACAAAAATCAATTATGCAATGAATAATCTGAAAATGCAATAAGACAACAGTTCTATTCATAATAGTATCAAAAAGAATAAAAATACTCAAATTTAAGAAAAGCAGTGAGCTCTAACAATTACAAAACACTGTTAAAAATGATATAATTGAATAAATATAAAGATATCCTATATTCATGGATCAGAAGTCTTAAAACTATTAAGATGACACTTCTCCCAAATTGACCTACATATTTAATGTTAACCCTTTCAAAATCCTAACTCTTTATTTTGGGAGGGAGCACTAAAATTTATGTGCAAATGCAAGGGGTCCAGAATAGCCAAAATTTTTTTTTTGAGACAGTGTCTTGCTGTTATCTGTATTCCTCAGACTGGTCTTGAACTCCCAATCCTCCTGCCTCAGCCTCCCAAGTAGCTAGAAATATAGGCATGTGCTACTATGTCCAGCTCAGAACAATCATGAAAAAGGAAAACAAGATTGGAAGGCACAATTTCTGGTTTCAAAATGATTACAAAGCAACAATTAAGGCAGATGGTACTGGCTTATATATAGCCATATGAATTATTAATACAGAATTGAGAATCCAGATGTGTAACCCTTCACACTTGGGTCAACGATGAATTCAATGGCCGGAAGGATATTTTTTTCAATACATAGTGCTAGGACAACTGTATATCCACATATGAAAGAAAACTAGGACTTCTTCCTCATATCACATATAAACAACTGATAGATCAAAGATCGCCTATGTGAAAGACTTTAAAATTCTAAGAAGATACAGGAGAAAGCTCAGTGATATTAGGTTAGGCAAAGTCTTCTTTGATATAATACCAACAGGACAAGCAGTAGAAGAAAAATATAGAAAAACCATACTTTCATCAAAATTTAAAACTCTGGTGCTAATGAAATCATCAAGGGAGTGATAAGATACAAAATGAGGTAAAATATTTGCAAATCATTTATCTCATATGAGACTTGTAAGAAAATGTAGAATAGAGTGCTTGCCGGCATGTGTGAAACCCTGGGCTCGACACTCAAGACTGTAAAAAAGAATAACAATAGCAGATAACCCATTGTACCAAGTATACAGTTTATAGTCCTTCTATGTTAAATACAGAATTACTATACAACCCAGAAATTCTGTTCCTGTATATATACCCATGATAAATGAAAACTTTTGTCTACACCAACATTTGTATATGAATGTTGTCAGTATTATTCATAATAAAAAAATGAAAAGTGGCAGTCAAAGAGTGGAATAACCCAAATGCTTATCAACTGATTAATGGATTAAACAAACTAGTATATCTGCATTAGAATACTTCCTGGGACTAAAGAGGAGTGAAGTACTAACACTGCTACACTATGAATATACCTTGAAAATATTATCTAAATGAAAGAAGTCAGTCACGAAAGAACAAATATTGTATTATTTTATTTATATAAAATGTCCAGAATAAGTATATTTATACAGAAAGAAGATTAATGGTTGCCTTGGTAGAAAGGAGTTAGAACCAGGAATGACTGTTCAAGGGAGCCTCTTTTTGAGTTGAAGGAAATCTAAAATAAATGTGTACTCAGTAACAGTATTCACAAATGCCAAACCAGAGATAAATGGCCTCACAAAATACCCCTTTGTAAATTTTTGAAGCATTGAAGTATGACTTGGTTACAACAAACTTTTTAATAGAAAAATACTTAGAGATATTGATGCTACAAATGGAAAATTAACGTATTTTTTCAGATTAATAATTTAAAACTTGAAAAATAAGAATGTCAAAACTGTAAGTTGACAAATATATATTCACATATTTGATGTGGAATCAAATATGTGAACATGATGTACAAAATGTAAATTTAAATCAAAAGGTTTTCCCTGGTCATTTAAAATAATAAGGGGTCCACATCAGTTTATTTTTATTGATAAAGATGTGACCTTTTTATAAATCATACTTGAAACAAAGATAAGAATTACATTCTTTTTTTTTGGAAGCTGAGAGAAAAGAGTTCAGTAGTAAAAGGAGAAAAGTAAGGACAGTGAAAGTGAATGAAAAACTGTTGAAGGTCTCTTAGCATTCTACATTTCACATCACATTATTACTTAAGACTTCATTTTGACTCACCAAGTCTATAGAATCTACTAATGGCTGGTTTGACTGAAATGCCGAGTCCTCACTTTCTTCTTCATTCTTTTTGCAAGGCACTTGCTTTGAAGGGAGCAAATTATACCATACAGTGAAAATCTCATTGGAAAATGGTAAATCTGCCAGGCTGATCTGAGTTCCAGCCTATAGGAAATTAAACAACAAAAAAAAAAAAAAAAAAAAAAAAAAAAAAAAAAAAAAAAAAAAAAAAAAAAAAAGAAGAAGAAGAAAGAAAACCATAAATTTAAATTAGTATCTGTTCCTTCTGATATGATAAAGATTATTAGGTGACTGCTGGCTTTGGCAGCACATATACTAAAAGATTATTAGGTGAGCTTACCTTAGAGAAAAAAATGCAATACTCATGACATAAAGCACTGGGTTTTTTAAAACCTGGAGATGTTTTATACTCTCACTTGGGACTCAGTAAGAAATAAATCTCAATCTAAATACCAATCCTGGGATTCTTTTGTGAGATACAATTTTGCCCATACCAAATGACTAAAGGAATTACATTTAAATGAAATAAATGACAGCCTAAACCTTAGTACTTCCTATAATGTGCTACAAGTGACTTGGTTATTACTCACAAAAAAATTATTATCCACTGAAAAAACTTAAAAATAAGTAAAAATTCTACTTTGGTTCTTGAATGAGAAAGCTACAAAATTTTTCTTTGGATATATAAGTTCAAAGAATGTCAAAAAAAATAAAGGCTAAGGCCTTTTATATTCCTCCACAACACACTTAGTCAGAATTCAAATTCAACTATATTATTTTTAAAAGGCTGCTAATTAACATATTTAATAACTTTATTCATGCCTCCGACATATATTAAATAAGACATCTACTATACTAAAGCCTTTCTGATAGTCTAACAAGTCTACCTTTGCTTCTAATTTTATTTTTAGACATTATTATAAAATAATTCTTCAAGAAAAGATTAAGAAGAAACCTACCACTCTTTTTAACTGTGTTCATCACAAAAGGTATGTGCTTCCTATTGGATTCCAAAAAAAAGCTTGGCTGGGCACTAACACTGCTTTTGACCACACGAGCCCACCTCTACATGCCTGTATTTGAACACCATGTAACTTTACTTGTAGGTGATGGATCTGCTGGTTAGTAGCCACAACAGTGTGTTAAACTTATTATTAATTACCATGTTTTCTGCTATAGCATGTAAACATCACGTTGCTCGAAACAGTAACACTTCATCCTGTTAGCTCTAATACCATGGCCAAGGAAAATGAGCTGAATAGAGGAACCATATCCACAGTGTGTTGCTTAATTTTAATTTGTAACAGTGAATTATCTGTGGGATATCTTTTTGATATCTGGCTCTATCACTCACTAGGTGTGTGACCCTTTCTAAACTGCTCTTTATCTGAAAATGGGATAATCGCACCTTTCATAACTGATCTTTCATAAAATTGCCATGGGGATTAAAAGAGATAATATATACAGAACACTCAGTATTGGGCTTAGAATTGGGCCTAATAAGTATGCTCCCTAAGTAACGATCATAACAGAGGTTAAAACTCTGTAATCAAAGGGTAGAAATGGAAAGTCAAGCTTTATTTTTTAAATTACAAATTATATGCAGATTTTAAAGATCTGGAATATGAGAAAAAACAGAAATCACTATTTTGGAGAAAAAAAAAAATGAAACAACCATTAGATGTATTTCGAGGTGTTGGATAAGAGTCTGTAGTGGTTTCAAGGCTGAAAAAATAGCAACCAGAAAATATAATTCTCAGAATATCTGATCATACATGTTATCTGAAAACGGTACTTATATGAAGAATCCTACCAGGCATTCTTCCCTGCGGTGTTTACTGACAGAGCAAAGATCAACTCTCAGTGTCTTTTGCTGCAAGGCTGTTTGGGAAATGGCCATTCTGAACACATCATTGAACAACACAGATTCAGTGGGTGGATGGACCTTTGTTCGAAATAGACAGCTGACATCAGTTGAAGAGGGAAGAACAGCAACCCTGAAATACCTGTAAAGAACAAAAGTAAAATGAATCTCATAAGTACTTCAAAATAACAGTGGATTTATAGCTATCATTTGCAATTATCTGCAAAAAAGAGAAAATGAGGGAACATGGAGTTCATTAACTGAAAGCACTGCTGCCATAATGGGTTGGCGCTCAGCTGCAGAGACGCTCTGTTCTTAACCCACCCGTGCTGACTGTGCCCCTGAGCATGCAACAGTCCAGCCTGCCACTCACCACGGGACTGCAGCAAAGGCACATGAAAGGAAAGTGAAGAGGAAGAAAGTCCGTGGGGCAGACGAATTTAATGTCCCACCTGCCCCATGTACAGCCAATTCCAAAATAAGTTATTTCTGAGCCTGGGAAGGCAGGGACATACTAAGTAGACACTGGTGACTTTATCCCAAAGAATCCTCATCCTGAGTATTAAAAGAGATGCTGATGATCACTTCCCAGGAATGGAATACATTATCCTACTAGAGAAAAAGAAAGGCTAAGTAGCATATTTTTAACAAAATTTAAAACAGATGAAACAGCAGTTCAAAATATATCGCTGAAGTCGCAGATATGACAAACTCTTAAAAGAGTTTTACGCTTTGTAAAATTCAAAGGAAGAGTTACAGAAAACAATAACTTCTAATGGTACTTTAGAGTGAATTTTTTGAGCACACACAATGTGAGAAGGACTCGCAATTCTTGGAAACACCATGAGGTATTTTCCTTCTAATCCCAGAAAGAGAATATCCACTAAATCTTCTCCCTGTCTCCATTTTCCAAGCTTGTCTAATTCATACTCTACAACATGCCTTTCTCTAATTAAAAAAAACTGTAAATTCAAATGCAGAACTGAGGAATGTCATATTACTTTTTATTTTATATCAACATTAATTATGGAGGCTCAGCATTGAAGACCTGTTGAGCCTTGGGCCACTGCTGTTGATTTGAGATCTTACTAAGACACAGGTCCTGCTCCCTGGGAGGCTGGAAGTTCCACAGAATAAAGTCTTTTTTCTCTGTCTTCATGTAAAAGCAGTGAGCAATATTAGAGAGTTAAATGGAGGGGATTTCTGTTTCTCCAGCCTTCGAGTTTATTCTGTACCAGTGGCCTAACCACTTAAATCATCTCAAAATGTTTCCACATCAAACAAGAACAATTTTACCTGAAGGCAATGGGAAAGCAGGTAGGAGTGTTTTTCTCCCATTCTGCTACAGGGGAGGGCTCTCCAAAGTGGAACCAGGCAAGCCATGAGCCAGTATCATAAATACTATGACTGTTGTCAACCAGCAGAAGCCCCAACACTGCTTACTAGAAGTACAATTAAAAACTAAGTTTTTAACTGGGGGGAAAGAAAATTAAGGCTATTTTACACCAGTTGTCACTTTTAGCAGTGTCATTATTTAGGTAAAGGATCTTAAATACATCTTTAAGAAAATGTTGCCATATATTTCAGGAAAGTTCAGGACAATTAGATGAGTAACTACACACACCTAGAGAACAGAAGTATGTTCTATACTCATCAGTTGACTGAGTACTACTATTGCTCCAGAACTACCCTGGAAGTCATCACACTTTGTGACTTCCTCTGAGGTTAGTGAGAATGACCATGATTGGTTTAGTTGAAGTAGAAAATTAAAGTACATGCACCCTCACAATATGGGCTTAAAGAAAATACATGTTGTTTCATAATTTTCTTCTTGGACTTGAGAGTTGGGTCTTACTGTTTAGCATCAGTCTCTGGCAGACTTGTCATTTCCCTGATCATTTCCCTGATCTGCCTTACTAAAAAGGCCACCAATGGCACAATCCACTTCATTTTCATGTAAAAGTTCAGAAAATTCCTCCACTCATATAGCAGTAACTAACATGCAATAATAAAAGTTTTAATCCAATTTTAAGCAATTGGGCCCTGACACAACATAACACAAGATTCCTGGCCAAAAAAGAAATTAAAAAGTCTTGATTCCTATTCATAAAGACCAAATCTCAATTTGCCTCTCATATGTTTCTTTTCTCTTCTACTGTTGATTTAGATGCCATTAGCCCTGCTGTCTTTCCCGTATCTTCATTTTGTTGAACAGCTTGATCACTATGTAAATTATGTTCTGTGGAAATTTCTAAGCACCTCAATTTGTTCTTCACTGATTTTACTTACACTTTTGAAGTATGAGGTATCAAGAAGGCATGCAGATTTCGGAGTTGTGCTATAATAACCATGAAACTTGAACTTTTTGCATCATATCTGTCAAAAGAGAAGCTGAATGAAATAAGAAGTAATCCACAAGCCATCAGTGGCTGTATAGGTCTGTAGAACTGCTCCTCCTCCATGCACACTGTTTACCTGAGTCCTATCTGCACCTGGGCAGTCTCCACTATGGCTGCATCCTCTTCACTATATGGAGCATCTTCTATTTCATTAGATCTAGGAATGGGGAGTAGGTGAACAGTCAATTAATGGGAATGAAGCTTGTTATGGTTGCTGTTTGCCACTAAATATCTGAGCAAATATGTGAATTAACAGCACTTTTTTTTGCTTTATACTGTTTTTTAAAATTAATTTTATTGGTACACTTTTGACATAAAGATCACATTCATCATAGAGAATTTGCACCTATACATAATAAATCTTGACTCTTCTTTTTTCCCCATTCCCCTCTCCTCCCTTCAACCACCCTTCTTCCCCTCCTTATTTACAAAAGGTTTGTTTCCATTTTTTCCTTCTCTTCTCTTTTCTTTTCCCTTTCTTCCCTTCCCCAACCCCTCTCCCTTGTTTCCCTTCCCATTTGAACATTTTCTTCCTTCTTCCCAATAGCCATCATCCATTTTGATCATTATTTACCCTTTTTGTTTCTCACACAAAAGAAACAATGTGATATTTAAACATGCGTGTCCAATTTATTTCACTTGAAAGTATGGTCTCAAGGTGCATCCATTTACCTAAAAATATCTTAAGTTTATCCTTCTTTATGGCAGAGTAGTACTCCATTATATATAAAAACCACATTTTCTTTATCCATTCATCCATTAATGGGCATCTGGGCTGTTTCCAAGATTTAGCTATTACAAATTGTGCTGCTGTAAATATGGGTGTGCATGTATCAACAGCACTCTTTTACAATCCAGGGGAAATGACCTCAGTAGAAGCTTCCTGTTTCAGAAGCTTTCTCTACCTCTTTAAGAAGAGTCTGCCTCTGAGCTTGGGAAACAGACTTTCTGATGTCTGACTTTCTTAAGCCCTATTAGGCTACATCACATTTTCAGACACCCTAGGCTTTCAGAAATCCACACAAGAATCTTTACGTGCTGACAGGCCTTAGCAAATCACTCCAATATTCCCACTAAAATCAAGTTTTTAAAGTATTAACAAGAGTCAGCTGATCTCAGTACACCAATCTGTCCATCATTTCCATGGCTGATGGGATATTTCTGGTATACTGGAATTTTCAATCACAGCATTTCTTTAATGGCTAAGGTACTTACTCCTCCAAAGGGTGGACTAATGGCTACTGCTTGTTTATAAGATAATGCACAGGCCCTACTACAAAGAGCCACAAGGAGAAACGAGGAGATTTGGAGGAGCAAAAAAGCATTTGTGTTGGGTCCTTACTGTTTCATGGAGGCTTCATAGACTCCACTGTCTCCAGCCACGGATTCATCAGATACAGCAGCAGACACACAAGCAGTTTTCTCCCCAGGCAAATGGATTACTCTTCTTTTTGGTAATGACTTTTCCACATCTAAAGAGGGGAGAGTGACAGCATTAATTAGGATTTCTTATTAGGAAATATTAAATATAAAATACACAGTTCAGTTACGAGAAATCTAAAGTATAGTTTCTGTATGAGAAACAAGGATGTTACTATTCAAATCAACAGATGTGGATCCATCAAAGTGCTGTGGCTTATGAGATTTCTGGGATACCAGTTATTTCAATTGTTATTTGAGGAAAGAGGTTTTTTTTGTCCTGAAATCTTTTAAGGGAAGGTGGTCCACACCCTCTTTCCTTCAAGCATTCTCAAATTTCTATACACTATGGGTAAGAAACTATGTGCCTCTCTCAAGTACTAGAGATATTTCTATTTGGAGACTCCCTAGCTACTCAAGGGAAAGAAAGGTTTCTACCTCTTTGCTCTCTGCTTTTTTCCATGTGCCACATTTTCTGGCTTCTGTTCTACTATTCTAACAGAAATTAAACAAAAAACATCTTTGACTTAGAGGAATTCCTCACTAGCTAATACCATTAAAACAACTTTTTGTGCTACTGAATCTTTAGTACCAACTACCACTTAACTTTTATCTCTAACTCATATTCATATAGCAGTATCCTGCAGTGAGCAAGGAGCATTCATTTAAAGCTGTGTTCAGTACTGTAATAAGCTGCAAGCCTGTGGAGTCCTTTCATCCTGGAGTGAGTGAGCCAGCGGATCAGTATTGGTGTGCATTTTGGCCCCCTTCTGAGTTGTGACTTTACATCTTGTTAAGATGTTTAAGTTTTAAGGCTTCAGATTACAGGATGGATTGCTGCATTTCCCCCTTTTATTTTTGGCAGTGGGAATACTTTTTGCTTGATGATGAAGTGCCTTCTCTACACCCACCCCCCTTTGCGAGGGGTGAAGGTGATGACATGATTTATTGATTACCCTCAGGAATAACCACAGCAGCCTGAAATTGACTTTGACAATGACAGAGACAGGCTGTGGAAAGACTTCATAGTTATTCCAACTTCATTTCTGTCATCCAGCAGGGATTGGTGCTGGGGAGCAAAATTTATATAAAAGGGACTCAACTTCACCTGTGTGACTCAAAGAGAGATGAACACTGTTCCTCACAGAGAGCCATCCTCCTTCAAGGGAAGGGTAGACGCACCCTGAATAGACCAATCATTGGTGACCTCAAAGAATTAGTCTTCATGGCTAAATACACACTTTGAGTTGTTTTTAGACATAAACTCATAACTACCTGCAAACAAAGCTTTTGGATGTGTTTTCATTTTGGGTGACTTTTTTTTTTTGGTGCTGAGGATCAAACCCAGGGCCTTACACATGCCTGGTAAGCACTCTATCACTGAGCTACATCCCTAGCCCGTGAGGTGACATTTTAAAAATAAGTTTTCTAACATTTAAAAGTTAAAATTTATTTCATGGGAACACTGGAGACAGCCATATCCAGCCATGGCCCAAATTCACGGACAGACACAGTACTAGACCCCAGTGTCAGGGCAAGGTACTGCTAGGGCAAGTCAGCAAGTTAGGAAGTCAGGTACCCTGGGCCACAGGATCACCACATGGGTGACAGCCCTTGGGCAATTTTTTCACAATTGCTCCCCTTCTCCAGTATCCAGTCTCACATACTGGTCCTCCACAATGATGGGCTGCTGACAAGTGTTCACTAGAGAACATTAAATATACAAAGGGCAAAGTCAGCTTAAGATGCTCAAGATATGCAAGATCCAAAGCAAGAAAAATGGCACAAAGAACACTCCATTTTTTCCTCTTTCCTGGTTCTTCCTTTCCTAGCTTGTTTGTGGTAGAAACTGGATTAAGGAGTGTTTGTATTATTATTGCTACACAGTAACAATTGCTGTGCACTGGATGCAGGTGCCAGACATGCTTATGTGGTTTCCATTCCTCACAGCATTAACCCTCTCATGTGCTCCAAGGATGACTATATCATCACAACTCTGCAGACGAGGAACAATCCTGAGAGACAAGATTAATAAGCTTGTTAAAAATGGCCTAAATGGAAACCCAAGTGGGAGTGTCAATGTGGCCAGCTCCAGGGATAGTGTGCAACCCAGAACCCACTGCATTTCTTCCTAGAACCAGAGGTGTGACCCCCATGGTGGCTTTTGGCTATGGTGGAGCCACTATGTATATATCACTCCTGTGGTTATTTGTTTTGTGGTCAATTATTTCAATAATGTCACTGGTAGCTTTGGGACCTCCCTAAGAAGGGGCACACATTCCACGTGGATGTCTCATAACTCCCACCTCTGCCCCTGGCCACTAACAGAACACAGTATTTTAGTCTTCAGTATTTGAAACCACAGAAACAAGCTGGATGTCTATGTCCTTAAACACCTGAATTGGCCAATCAATTAATAGGGCTATGCATACAAATAAAAATGCTTCTAGCATTTTCTTGCTTTCTAGCAAGAAATTAATTCTACAGAGACCTGTCCTTTTCTGTGTGGTGGAACACACTAACACACACATACATGCTTATGTGCGTGCATGCTTATGATGCGAACAGGACTCCCTTGGAGGAGAACCAGAGCTTTTGTTTCACATTCATCTCCAGCTGGCACAGGAATACACTGCCCATCTTAATCTACAACAGAATCATTTGCCAGTAAGAGAAGCATCTTGTGCTCTTTACAACTGTATCTAATATTTTAAAAATTTCTGTCATGAAGGGAAAATAATTTAAAAAATGAAATTCTCCTTGCTTCTGTCTCTTTGAGCACACATGCATGTGTAAGGAATCAATCTCTGAATCTCTTCCTTCGACTGCAACTGTTAAGGCAACCAGAAGATGGCAGGGTACTACCATACACTGGAACTGGCTTTCTCCAAATTGACTCAGGCAGAGAGGGAGAGTCTGGCATGAAACAAAAATTCTATTTATACAGAATGCCCTGAGCCATCTAAACAGTGAACCTTGGTGCTAATTATCTGGTATGTTAATTGACTTGGTTTTAATCTGTTTGAGGTCAATTTTTATAAGAAAGCCATCTTCTTTGCCTTGCTATTTCAGAACTAGTATCCATCTGGAAGTATGGAAGGTGTTCACAGCACATTTTCTTAGCCAGCTACCACACACAAAGCGTCTCTGGACCACAGAATAGGTAATTACATCTATTAAATAGGGAAATAAATTTTATTTGATAAAAAAATCTGAGTATATGAACAAACAAGCACTCCTTAAGTGAAGTCAAAAATGAATATTCAGGAAAAAGAGGAGGACTACACCATTTGTTACAAGGAAAAAGTAATTTACTCATTCTCCTTAAAATAATTCAGAGGTAATACATGAAAAGAAAGGTCTATATTTACCTGTAGTTCCTTCAAATAATGGCTCCCTAGCACATTTGTTAAGCTCTTTATCCTCTAAAAGAGACTGAGATATTCCTCCTGAATCTGAATCCAGCAATATCTGATTTTCACCAAGGCTGATATCTGCAAAATGGCTACTCAATTCGCAGTCTTCAAAGTCAGTAGTGAACTGATGAAGAGAAGCCTCATGAGAAGACATGGAAAATGTGCCTTCTAAGACCAAAGGAGAGCTAGGAGGGGACAAGGAAGAAAGGGAAGATCTCGAGGACAGGGACGTCACAGACTTGGGGGCTTCAGTCAAGGTGGGTGTGTGGCCAGTTGCTGCAACTGGTGCTCCACAGAGTCCACTCTGACCTGGCTGACTGGGGGACTTGACCACCTCATTTTCATGGATGGTGGTGATAGGTCCTGAAGGAACATAACCACCCTTCTCCTGCAGAAGGAAGTCCAGTTTATACTGATAATCCACGTCTATCTGATCGCCCTGACTGCTGTAGTAGAGCTCACTGGAACTGAGGGAGTTGAGTGACCCTCTGCTGGAGGTGTTCAGAGAGCCCCTACTGGACGCCAGGGAACCCAGGCTGCTCCCGGATGACATGGACAGTGTGCTGGTGGAGAGGCTGAAAGAAGAAAAGCACATGGTAAAATCTGTCACTACATGGAAAACCCAATCATAACCCCTACTGCCTCCTACAGACCCCAGAAGGAAAGGAAACCACTCATGCCAAAGAAAGAAATCTATGACCAGAGCAGAGGAACTTGCTATTATAACATGTATTTCCTTACTTATTCACTAATATTTTCAACCTCGTTCTCCAAATACTCTTTAAGTAGCAATTCTATTCTTACTAAAAATTATCCTTTTGCAAAATTTTTTAAAAGGACCAAATGCTGATTTGTAAGTCAACTTATATAACTATACAAAAGTAACTTCACAATTAAAAAATATTAAAAGAAAAGTAATGAAAAGCATAAAATATTATGTAGTTACTGTATTAAAAAACAAACCTGGGCCGGGGATTTAGCTCAGTGGTTTTGCTGCCTGCTGCACAAGCACAAGGACCCGAGTTTGATCCCCGGTACCAAAAAATAAAAAAACAAAAGAAAAACAAAAAAACAAACAAAAATAAAAAAATAAAAAAATAAAAAAACAAACCTTATTTTTAGAGAAAAAAAGGCAAGTTTATCAAACTCCACAGGTTACACAAAAGGCCCCTGGATTAATTTACCTTTCCTCTTCTCTATGTGTAAATGTAAGAGTGAATATTTTTCTAATCAATGTAAGAAAATCTATGCCTAATTATTATTTTTGGTACCGGGGATCAAACTTGGGACCTTGTGCTTGCAAGGCCGGTGGTGAGACCACTAAGCCAAATCCCCGACCCCTATGCCTAACTTTTTAAAGGTAAATCTCTCCCACCCTCCCTTTTTAAAAGATGGGGTAACAGAAGAAACGTGCTATTTTTCTAAGTTTTTTCTGATAGCTAAAACATCCTCTTCCTACAACATATTTCAAATGTATTTACTCAAATATGACCTTGGAGTTCATGAAAAAATAATCTGTGAGTTTAAATTTGGTCATTCATTAGTTCTAGTTGTATTATTGTAACTATTTTATTTACTCTTAAATAGCTGAAAATAAAGTGTAAACTAACTGAAGATAAACCAGAACATGGCTAAATAATAGTCAAAAAACATTTTTCCCCTAGTAGGCTTACCTTTTAAGTTGTGAATGCAAATAAGTAGTTAATTTAGTAGTTTCTTCAAGTTTCTGTAGTAGCTCTTTTCTTCTCTCTTCCAATTTCAATCTAGAAAAAAATTATAGAAATTATTTTATTTTCAAATGATTGATAAAATATGAGAATTAAAAGAAAGAGTCTTATTACACAAACTTTATACATCAAGAGGAGAAAATGCAGATAACCTGGAGGACAACCAGCAAGGGACATGAGCAGCACAGAGCTGCTCACAGCCATGCTCAGGGAAGGGGGAGTTTTATGCCCTAACTCCAGCTCTACTGAGAACTTCAAAAAGCTGACAGTGTAAAAATTTCCTAAGTGGATAAATAATATAGTCCTACGAGTAAGGGAAGCATAGTAAGAAGGAAAACAATAATGACAACAAAACAACTCAACAAAGACTGTAAAATCCTTATACAGGTCTATAACTTGGCTTCATATTACTAAAACATTTGACAGCAATAATAAAGAATTATAAAAGGTCATCCTAAGTTTTTCATATTTATTTATTTATTTATTTATATTTTTGGTACCGGGAATCAAACTCAGGACCTTGTGCCTGTGAGGCAGGTGGCGGTGGCACCACTGAGCTAAATCCCTGGCCCTAAGTATTGAATTTAAAAAGGATTGTTCCAAAATAATATTTTATGATGAAAAATTCTAATCGTAATTTGATGAGAATTTTAATGATTAAAAAAAGTTGTCTATCTTGCTACTGTAGACTAATGTGGGTTTAATTGTTTAAATAAGAAGACCTCAATGTGATTTCTTTTCTCAGCTATAGAACATCCTATTGCCTGCACTTGATTATTATAAAATTTTATCCACATTCAACTGCAAAAGATTTCTTTTTTTGGGGGGGTACCGGGGATAGAACTTGGGTCTTTGTGCTTGCGCAGCAGGCAGCGAAACCACTGAGCTAAATCCCTGGTGGATTTTTATATTTTTAAAAATTAGAGTATTATGGACTTGTATCTTGAAAAATAATTCATTTAAAAATATATCAACCACACAGGGACTCATGGAACTAAGAGCCTGCACAAAGATAGTTTGTATCACCTGACAATCTTTAGATATCACTGAAATCAGCCAGTGCAGTGCAGTCAAGGGAGCTATGGAATGGGATTTGGAATAAGCACACCTTGGCTCCTGGTCTAGCAGTTGCAGCTTACTAGCTGTACATTGTTGGGCAAGTTACCACATCAAGGTCTCACCTTTCCTATCTGTAAAATGGTGATTACAATCCACCTGCATCTACCTGGTAAGGCTGTTAAAGGGATCAAATGAAGTAATGTAAGTAAAAGCACGCCACAGATGATAAAAACAAATCATACTTGTTCAAAGCCTCAGCATGCCCTGCAAGGTGTTAATATAAAAATTAGCCACATTTGTTTGGAGAAAAATAAAATTTCCTTGGTTTCCAACCTCTTTGAAATGTTATGTATGTCTTGGGCAATTAGGAAACACACTCATATTTTATTTATAGATATCTATCCCTTTGATGTGTCAACAACACAATTTCATTATATGTTAAAACAAAAAAGTAATTCTTGCCACTTTCTTTAATACATCAGGCTTGATAAATTCTTCACTCACAGCTTTCATAAGTGCGTTTTTAAAAAGAGGCCAGTCTATTTTAAAATCTCAAATATAAACAAAAAAACCAGGACAAAGATTAACACAAAGATGATGAACTGAATTAGAAGATACACAAAGGTCTGGAACAAACCTAACATACTAAAATTCATGTCTTCAGAAGCAAGAGAAACACTTTTAAAATACTTTAAAATCAAATATTTATTTTATTTAAATTAAGGCCTTTTCCTCCTGTTTTAAGGAGGCACCGGTATAACATAGAATTTAATCCTGAAATGTCTGCTTCATCCTGAAGTTTTAAATAAAGTTTTAAAGTTTTCTTTCCCTGTCATCAGGAATGGTCCCTTCTCTGCCCTCAACCAGGCTATGCTCAGGGGCTGCTCTTTCTGCTTTTTCAGGCTGACTCTGAACTGATACTTGACTTCTGTGCTCCCCAATACAATTCTAAGTCCCAGAAGGCAGACACCAGCTGTCTGCCTCTTCCAGCCAGGCTTCTTGTTGGTGTCACTGAAAGAAGTCCATTGAAAGCAGCCAGGAGAGTCTTAAAAACCTCTAGCAGGGCAGCCATCTCTCCCAGTGGCAACTGAAGTTTTCCTAAGCTTCCTTTGAGTTAATTGACACCAGCCCTTTCAAGAGGTGCACATCTGTCTCTCTTCTCTAAAGTCTGCTTTCTAGTCTTCATGGTGAAAAAGGGTCTTTTCACTTTTGCCTCTAAAAGATTCCTCCCCCTAGTCTTGCTGCTCCACACCCCTTTAAGCCCTCTGTAAAATCTAGGGCCTCATATCCTCCTACGTCTTCCTTGGCACACTGAGGCAGAGAGACATGCCTGGCCTCTCCTGTACTCAGAACTCTGAATCTAGGGAAAATTTCATGATCTCCACAGAAGAAAGCAGTCCCTTTCCATTAGAAGATAAATGGCAGCTGAATAGGCAACTTAGCAAGACTCTGTCTCAAAAAAATAGAAAGGACTAGGGATGGAGCTCAATGTGAAGTCCCTGGGTTCAATCCCTAGTACCAAAAAATGGGCTCTCATACCCCTACCTATTTGCTTTACAAAATTTTTTCAGAAGCAAAGACAAAAATATTTAAATAATTAAGAAACAATTAAGGTATTGGTAATTACAAGGCAACCCCCTCCCAATTTGTGAGAAAATAAGGAGCTTTAAGATCTTATCAACTATAGAATGGCAATTTGAGGAATGTTAGTAACTATATGAAGAGAAGACAAACAATGTGGGCATGGTGAGAAGACTTCCACTTGCTGACTTACTTCACTTGAGAGCATTTCTCTTCTGACCTGATGACCCTTACAATGAGCCTCCCTCACTTTTCCCAACCTGCTTTACTGCCACTAGATGGCGCGCTCAGCCACTGTTGTCCCTGAGTTGGGGACACTGCTGTACAGTGGAAATGGGAACCCAGCTTGGACATTGTAGGATCACATACAGTAACTGAAAATTCATATGAGTTTGGCACCTTCAGGGACTACAATTCAGGGATGAATCAGAATCTTGCACGAGGTACCCCTGAAATAACTAGAAACCCACAATATAAATGGAAAACAGGAGAATTTGGGGCAATGCAGCAAGTATTTCTTTGGTAGTTGTTAGGTAACAAGAAGAAATTGAGAGATAGGCTGTTAGTGCTATGCAATTCTTTCTGTTATATATGTTTTACACAGTGAATTCTATTTCCCAAAAGTATCTCTGGCCACCACCTGCCATAGCACTAAGGAAATACACTGCTTATAAAGATATTCTCTTCCCTTCTAAGGCCCCAGTGTTAGATTAACAGCAGCAAGAAGCAAAGCAGAAATGTATACATATAATAGGAAGAAACAACAAAGGGTGAATAGTATGAAAGTGACAGAAGATGGGAGTAAGGACAACCATTAACACATCCAAAGCCCTACTCTGTTGTCTCTGCTTGGAAAATAAAGAACTCACTGCTCAGTGCAGCAGTAGGTTCTGCTCTTCAGGACACGTGGAAGGAACACTGAGCCTCAGCAACTAATGGTAGGAGTGAGAAAACTTTAATTTGAGCTGGGCATGGTGGCTCCCTGCTACTCAGGAGACTGAAACAGGAGGATCACGGGTTCAAGGCCAACCTGGAAAACTTAATAAGATTCTCTCTCAAAATAGAATTTTAAAACAAAAAGAAGGTTGGAAATGTAGCCCAGTGGTAGTGCCTAGCATGCACAAAGCCCTGGCTTCAATTCCCAGTATTAGGGGGAAGGACTTTTTTTTAAAGTTGATCAAGAAAGAAAGCATGAGTCCCTCAACCTTTCATTGCAACATAATTATCTGCCTTTGACCACAGACTCTAGGAAGGAAATTAGTATTAACTTATTTGTAATACTAAGTGGCTTGACTTCCAAATGAATCACAAAGTCAACATATTACAAATACAAAATACATACATTTCCCTTCCAGCTAACATCTAATCATGGCAGATAGGCCCATGCATGCATCATGAACTAGTGGGGCTATTACACTGCTTATTTGCCAGATGACACAAATCCCATAGTTGGATCTCACTATATATATTATTATTTTATATAAGTACTTTACAACTCATTCTCCTGATGAGTTCCAACCTATTGTTTCTGCTGGAATTTTGACAGCTGTTATGCATGTGTAAACAAAATTATAAAAGTCAAAGTTTAGGCACTTAAGAACAAACAATATCTTCAATGTTACTTCATTAGCCATTTTTGGTAGGCTAATAAAAAGGACAAGTGAGAGCTGGGTGTGGTGGCACGAGCCTCTGATCCAAGGTACTTGGGAGGCTGAGAAGGAGAATTGTGATTTCAAGGACAGTCTGGTCAACACAGTGAGATCCTGTCTCAAAAAAAAGGCACCACACTTATAAATGCTGATTACAACAAATGAACACACATTTTTATCTCCCAGTACAAATCTAAAGGTTACCTATAAGGTCTTCTAAGTGCTGAGATGGACTCAGCATATTAGAATACAGGGCTCTCAGCAGGGCAGGGCAATACAAGTCTGTAATTCTAGAACTCTGGGAGGCTGAGGTTGGGGCAGGAGGATCACAAGTTTGCACCCAGCCAGTCTAACTCAGCAAAACCCTGACTCAAAATGAAAAAATAAAAAAGGAGGTAGGGATATAGCTCTGTATAAAAGCCCTCAGTTCAATCCTCAGTAGCAAGCAAAAAAGGTTGGGGGGGGTCTCTCCACACCCCTGGATTTTATATTAGATGATTCAACCACCTGCAGATCAAAAATATTCAGGGGGAAAAACTGTGTTTGTACTGAATGTGTACTTTTTTTTTTTTTTTTTGGTACTGGGGCTTGAACTCAGGACCTTGCACTTCTGAGGCAGGTGGCAGAACCACTGAGCTAAATCTCAGCCCTGTGTACTTTTTTTTTCAAGGAATTTGAGCACCCACAGATTTGGGTATAAGGAGAAGGGTTCCTGGAATCAATCCTCCATGGATAGTGAGGAATGACTGTGTATAACATTTATTAAATACTATATAGATTACATAATACACATACTATCACCAATGTTTTACATATTACCACACGAAAGCTACCCCATTTCATTGCATTTACTGATGAGACTACTGCTAAGGTTTAAATATTATGTGCTCTCCAGAGATTCATGTCCTCACCAATGCATCAACCCAGTGATGAGTGAATAGCCGAATGGACTGTTAAGAGGTAGGGCCCAGTTGGAGGATGTAGGTCACTGGGTAGTACCTTGGAAAGATATATGTCTTTTCTGCCTCTTCATCTTTCTCTCTGCTTCCTGGCTGCTATGAGGTGAGCACCTTTTCTCCATCATGCTCTTCCACTATGTTTCTATCTTGGAGCCAGCTGACTATCGACTGAAACCTCAGGAACCATGAGCCAAATGAAATCACACCTCTTTTAATTTGTTTTTCTCATGTATCTGTCACAGTGACAGAAAACTGACCAACATAACTATTAAACTTTTATCCTGTAAATTTAAACTATTTAAATACAGAAAAGGAATTCAAGAAAAACAATTGAATTCACACTTGTCTTCTTGCTCTCACTTTTTGATCCTGTCAAAATGAGTCAGATGAGTCCTTGGCCAGCCTTGCTTATACCTACCTTAGGTTGACCCTTCCACTGCACCACTAGACAAAAAAATCAGACAAGAGGTGAAGAAAGAAAGGGGAAATGGCGTCAATGATAAAAATTACTTAAGACAGTCAAAGAAGACAGTCCATGGAGGCTTTTCCTCTTGATACTTGCTGATGCTCCCAAAAGTAGTGATGCTGTAGCCATATATTATTCTGCTCAATCATTTAACTCATCAAAATTAGTTCTTTCCAAATGTTTAAACTCAAGAGTGTGGAAGTCTAAATGTTACCACTTAATAGAGAACATCAGAGATTTCTACCTTCTCCCTCTCACTTTTTAAGTGTTTTGGTATTATGTAGACACATACTAAACACTTATTGAGGACCAGGGATTAGAAGGCAAGAAACCTATAATTAATAAAAAAAAGCAGAAGGAAACTGAATTATGATTGCATGTTTTAAATTTATTCCAAGGTCACTCAAGATTATTCCACTGCAAATTTCATTCCTGCTCTTGATCCTTACTCCCTGACCTAAAGGATGGATGTGTAGTAGTTTGGAAGGGCTACAGACTCTCTCTGAAAGAGATGTCTCAACATTCAGCCAGCAGGCCTGGACACAGGGCTCTGATGCAGATGTGCTCGACTCAAACTGACACACACAGGTCCCTTTGCTTAACATTGCAACTAATCTGTTTACAGGACTGGATTTTTCAGATTAGTCAACTCATACCTTCCCATAGAAAGATAAGAAAATTGTTTAGATTATTTGAATTTACATTTTCATTTGCTTCTGAGGAGGGTTTGACTGACAAACAAAATCTAAGGAAAAAAGTGGGCATGGTGGTACATATCTGTAATCTCAGCATTTGGGAGGCTGAGGCAGAAATATTGCTGTGGGTTTGAGGCCAGCCTGGGCTACATACTAAGTTCAAGGCCACCCCAAATAACATAGCAAGACCCTGTCTCAAAAAACCAAAAAAGAACAAAACAAAACCCAAGGAACATTGTGACCTGTTAAGATATCAAAGGGAGCAAACTGAAATTAGAAGCAATGAACTTTTATATTCTTGTAATAAACCCAGAATAGGAAGCAACAGTACCTGGAACAGTCTATATAATCTTTCTTATCAGAGTGCAATAGTTTATAGCTATTGTTATCAGACTCAGTCAACTATGTACTGCATTCCTGGTTTTATGTCAACATTCTTTAGTTATTCGACATCTGTCACAGGTGTTTCACATTCCTAACAAACACAGAGGACCTGATACTGTGGGGAACTAGGAGGGTGTGCGTTATTGCTCTACAGAAAGAAAGTCCTTTTGCTTTGTTTCACCAACCACTAAAAACAGACGTAACTGAGATTTCTAAATCCAAGGGAAATGTCATCAGCTAAGCTATAAGCACAAGTTTAAGTGCCCTGTTCCCAGGAAGAAATCATACCTCCGGGCCAGAGCCCGACTAGGTGTGCCTCTCACAGAAAGCAGCTCTTCCTCTAGCTGCTGCCTTTCGGCTTCCAGGCGTTCCAATTCATCTTGTGTGCGTTTTTGTGGAGTGATGAACTGCAGCTCTTTCAAAAACTCTTCTTTTTCATTAATTAGCATCAGCTTCTCCTTCTCAATATCCAGTGCCCCAGGCCAGGCCTCACTGTCCAACTTTGACAATTCAATTTTTAAGTTGGCCATACTGAAATATATAGAAGACACATACACAAACTTAGAACTCCTGAGAAAGGTACACACAAGCCAGCTAAGTCTGGGGTGGAACTGCTGTCCAGATCTTCCCAACTGGAGCTTATCAGAGTAGGCAGCATATCTACCAAAAGCATAAGCACCAAATACATGGAAGCCTCAAAAGCAGAGTGCTCTAGGGGTCATGGGTAGGCAGCCCTGATGTGTCACTGCCTATGTGGAAGGAGAGGAGGAGGCCCTGGTGCTTGCCTTTCAAAAAAATTGAGGTAAATAATGCCCAAAATGTTATGATTACAGATTTTGTTCCTTTGGGTCAAGATGCTGTTCCCTAGTAAAATGGTAATCCCCAGGGTAGTTCAGTAGGGCCTAGAGTATTAGCAGGTCAGGGTAGGAAAATGGGAGGAAAAGAGAGCAGTGCTTTGGTCAACTTGCATTAAAGCAAAGTCAATTCACCAAGGTTTCATGTTACCCAAGAAAAGGGAGCCGGATTTGGCCTCCTCCCACCCACACTCTCCTTAAGCCTCATACTGTGAAGTCTCTTTCCCATCAGGGCCTTGGCTGTTGGGGGAACAGCAAGAAGAGACACTAGGGGTAAATTTACTAGTTTCATAATTTTGCCTAACCCCAGACTTCACTATGAATACAGCTCCATAATTAATGGTTATGCTAATATAATTCCCAATTCAACATGAATGTCTTGAACCACCTGAGTTAATTAACTTGCTCTGTGGCACTGTGAAGACAATAAGGACTTTACACAAGGTAAATGGCACATTGCTCTTGTGACCATAAATCACAAGACCCAGGTATCCAGTGAACACAACTGATATTGACACAAGAAATCTACGTCTCTATTTTTAAAATGCTGGATGATTGCTTTGGATATTGTTATAGCACACAGAAAAGAATTTTAAAATGTTTTGGATGGAAGAAATTGTAAAAGGGAAGAAAAAGGATAAAAGAATAATCAAGACCAAAGATAGAAGTATATCTACATCTTTATGCCATAAGTTTTGTTTTAGTTTAAAATAAAATTTATATCTTAGAATGGCATTGCATATGTAGTATTCTTCTCATTTTTACCCACCATATGCAATTATGATAGATGTAACATCAGCTATTCTTCAGTTTTAACCACAAAACCCTAAACAACTGTCTCAACGTACTGGAAAATTAATCATCAAAGTGCTAAATAAGCATGATATTATTAGCTTCATTAAGCACAAAAAACAAAGGCTGGGGGAGAAAAAAGGTTTTAGAAAAACACAACCTACCTCTTATTCAGAATTGAGGAGGAAAATGCATTTTCAACATATGCATGTATACTTGAGAGTTATCTTCTCATGAGCATAACTAGTAACTTTAAAATAAAACCCCAAATAGTACAGTAATGCAACCATCAGGGAAAGAACCAATGTCTTTAAGTTTTGATCTGACTGAATTAACCAACTGAATGAAAGTGTAATGAATAAAGAAAGGCTTGTATTTATTATTTATGTGATTAGACATTAGGTAGATCTCAAAAAGGTACACCAAATCTGGGGGAAAATATGAGGAGACATCTGGGAACTATAGGAAGAGAAGTGCTGGGTAAGCTCCAATGGAATTAACTGTTAGCAGCCACAATAAAGCAAACACTCACACTGACCCAAAGGAAGAAAAGTCAAGCCCATTAGAACACGGGCACAAGGCTTGGTCTTCCAAAGTTAATTCTGAGTTATGGTCACTCTCTTTCAGAAAAACCAGACATAAATCCTGGACTTTGTCCACAGCAGAACCAAGGAATCTGGCTGCTATAGGATAAATATTGGTAAATATGATATTTATTTGACTTTGTTAGAGCCAGATAAACTAAGAACTATGGTTAATTACTTTTACATTTTCACCATAACCGATAACACCATGGTACCTCAGTTCACAAATGCATTTGTTTGTGAACAATTTGGTAAGCAAACAGAAGCATATAGCAAAATTTTGTTTTTGCCTGTGACCTCTGCATTGGGTGATGAACACAATCAAGGCCACCTTTCCCACATGAACAGGAATGTAGCCATCTTTTCCAGAACTGTGGAAAATATCAAGTTTGTGAACTGAGGTACCACTGTAATGGATATAGTACTTCAATATCTGATGGTTTTATTTATGGTAGGAACCCATGAAACCCTAGTTGGTTTTCATGCTCACAGAGGGGAACACGATAAATTCCTTGGTCTCCTGCAGGATGACAATGCAATTTTTTCCCCCAATGTCTCCTAAATAATAAAGCAATAGCATTTTTAAGCTCTTATAAGGAAAGCACAGTAATCAAATCAACTATATCAGTGTGACTTTCTCCCTCCAAACAAGTAAGGTGTGCTATATTATGAAAACAATCTATCTACTAGATAAGGATGGTGAAGTCTCTTGTGTCTCACCCTAGCAGAGTCACAGAAGTAAGAAAAAGGAAGCACAGAGGTTCATAAGAGTTCACAAGGTAAAGGAGGGAAATAAGAATATTACTTTTTTTCCTCCTTAAAATAAGTCAACTGGAGCAGATACTGCAGCACTTTCAAGGACATTAGCTGTAAGACTTCTCTTCGAAGCAGATGGATATGCTCCTAGACATTTATCTCAGAACTCAACAGCTATCAAGTCTTGTGCCTGAGCCATTCCTCCATCTGAGGACTGAATCTTCTCCCTTTTAATGGGGAGTATTATATAAGCTCAAAGCTTCTTATATCCCAGAAGATAAGGAGTCAATTTTATTCCCACACTTCTCATTAATTCTTCTTACTCTTCCTCAGCTTGGATGGGAGGGGAAATGAAGGAGAGAGACACTTAAATGCCAAAATACCAAGGGTAACTTTGGGGAGAAAGTATGGGGAGCACCCAGCAGATGTCACCACAGGAGTAAAGATTAACTTTGAAAAAGAAAGCAAAGCTTGACCATGAACAAAACAGCTCCCCTGTCCTTACCTTCTTTTGGCTTCTTCATACTGTAGGCTTAGCCTGACCTTTTCAGCTAAATTTGATCTACTTCTCACTCCAATCTAGTAAAAACAAAGGGAAAAAAGTCAATTAACTCTGTTAATGAATGAAGTCAACTGCTTTTGTTTCTAGGAAGTGCAAGTAATTAAAAAGCTCAAGAAAATGGTACTGAAATGGAAAAGCACCAGTTTTAAAAAGACACTTTATAGTCTCAGTAGGGGCAAAACATTTCTTTTCAATTCAAGCTTATCTGCTTTGCAAAGACTTTAACATTACTTTCTCTACACATTAAATTCAAGACAAAAATACCAGGTAAATGTGTCTGGTATCTAAAAGTTTATGAAGGGTATACTGGTCAATAAAATTTATGAACTGGAACTGATTTCTTTGCTTTTATGAGCCAAAATTTCCATCATTTAGCTTCCAACTGTACAAAATGTAAACTAAATAATCTCAAAAATTAATTTTTAAACAAGTAAGTCCTACTGTTGATCTCTAGCTATTTTTCTTTCATAGCACCTACTTCAAAGAATAACAGAACACAAAAATAACTGAGAACTTACTGAAAGGTAAATACTTACTAATGGCATTCTAAAAGGGAAAAAGCAAAATAGTTAATAATATCCAAGCCATGTTAAATATTTGCAAATGTTAGCAATAAATCACAAATTAAACACTTTCATATAATCAACTTCAAGTTTACAAAAAGAAATTTTCTTATTAGGTTTGAAAGGCATATTTCTGTTTCTCATTAGCCTTAATGCTCATTCAACCTAACCTAAATTTCTAAGGCTCTAAAATTAATAGGAATAAGTTAAATTTTCATGTATCTCTAGCCTTTCAATAGTGAACAAAGCTATTCATATGAGCAAGTCTTGATGTGTTTGGCACCTTGACAAAAAGATAAGGTTATGATTTTTAAAATCAATTTTACAAAAATAAAATACTGAATGCATACAGCCAGAATGCAAACCATGTGTCTAGCTCCTGTGCTAATTCACCATCCATACTGTCATTAAGGCCCATCATGGACAGCACCAGGCCAACCAATGACATAAGATAACTTACATCTCCAGAAATGCTTGTTTGTGACCCAGCATCAAGGGTCTGTCTGGAAAGAGATAAATGAGAATTCACAGAACTGGATCTCAAATCTGGCTCCGATTTGCCAATGTTCTGATCCAAATGAAACCGCTCTTGCAGCTTAGCAAGACTCTGTCCAGGAAACACAAAGTATCTCATAAAACTTAACATGTAAGAAGACATTCTCCACCAGATAAAATTAAATGGTAAGAGCTAATCTCACCAAATAAAACCATCATTTTAAATCCTTTACCACTTTATATTATTTTAAAAATAAGAATATAACATAATTTTGTACATACACAGATGTGACTTTGGAAGTATCTGAGATCATATCAAACAGGCTGCCTTATCTTTCCCAAGATAGCATTTTCCTGTGAATAATAGTACCTATATATACATGCATTTCCTATTTCTAAAATTTTCATTAAGAAGATGCTATTTTAATAGGAACCTGCTATAGTTTGGATATGGTCTGAATTCATTTCCAAAAGTTATTTTACTGTAAGTTTAGTCCTTGGTGTGACAATGTTCAGAGGTAGTAGAATTCTGGGTAGGGTCAGTGGAATATATTTAGGTCAGAGGGGGTAACACCCTTGGAAGAGATCAATGTAGTTCTTGAGGGATCCTAGTTAGTTCCTGAGATAGTGAGTTCTTATAAAAAAAACAGCACACATGGTCCCTGAATTTCTCTGGCTTCCCGTCTTGATATGTGATCTCTTCTAAATGCAATCCCACTATTGTGATGCCATTCACAATAGGGCCTTTACCAGAGGCTGAACCAATGGGGCTGCACAGTTCTTAAGGCCCCCAAACTGTCAGCTAAATAAGCCTCTGTTCTCATAAAGTACCCAGCCTCAGACTAATACAGAACCACCCACTTGATGCAATATAAATTATGGAAAATGGAATACTTCCAAACAATCTCTCATTTAGATATAAGACAATTTCTTACAAGACTTTTATATTTTTGCCTTATTACACCTGAACAGGACCCAAGAGATTACTCAGTTCACGTTAATGTTAGAGATTAGGAAACTGAGGCCTACAAGTTGCTAAAGAGGGGCCTAAGCCTCAGTTAAGCCTATCTATGTGTCTCCTAGATGGCACTGCCTATGATAGTGGTAGTTGGTTTGCTAAAAATGAATGATCAAAGTAATGTGCCTCCTACTGGTATCCAAGTCAAACATGATGGGTTTAGAGGGAGGATATGCACAAGTAAAAGAATTAAAAGGAAAATCTTACCTAATTTGCCTTTTGAAAAAGAAAAAGTAAGCCCTACAGTAATATTAATATCAACTATTTTTTTGAGACAATCTCACTATGTAGCCCAGGCTGACCTCAAATTTGCATTGATCCTCCTGCCTCAGCCTCCTGGGTGCTAGGATTATAGGTGTGCACCACCATGCCTGGCTCTCATGATTATCAATATGAAGAACCAGTATTTAATCCTGATTTTTAAACTTTCCATGATAAGAAAATATTTAACTTTTAATAGCTTTATGAGATAAAACTTATAGACACATCAAATAATAGATTACAGAAAACAACAAAGAAATCTTTCAGTGATATTAGACAATCTGTTCTATATTTCCATCTGTAAATTGAAAAGATTAGTGTTTTTCTTATCTGCAATAGCAATGTACTCAATTTATTAGGTTGTGATTAGTATTTTTTTTAATGAAATACAAGATAACAGAAAAGAAAATCAGAGTACATCACCAGTAAGGCATATTTCTGTGAAATTCAAGTGTGAGTGCGTTATTGGTTTTTGATGTAAAATATATTTTTTACTGTGCTCAAAGAGGTTTGAAAGTCACAGGAGATATCTAATGTCCCTTCCAGCTCTATTGTTGATCTCTGTATCTAAAAATTAATTATTATATAAACTTTAGTAATTGAAATGAATTTAATCTTTTAATTGAATCTGGGCTGTGTATGAATCTAAAGTTTTTCAGGAAGAATCAAGGATGACCCAACATTATTGAATTATAAGGTTCTAATGTTCATTTGTTCAAGTTTCACTAACTTCTTTTAAAAAGGAACTACTGTGTGCATTTCTGGAATTTCTAATTTAACCAGTAGGATAATTGTGGAACAAAAACAATACATACAAGTAAATTCTTGTGTTATGTGTTAAATGTGTATGTATATGTGTTAAAACTACATATTCTAGAGCAAGACCATCTGCATTTGAATCCCAGTTCTACTACTTACCATCTATTTGACTTTAAGTAACTTATTTAATTTTTCTGCACCACAATTTGTCTACAAGCTGAGGATAATACCTTTGGAAGTTGTTGTGAGGATTATGTGAACTATTTACATGTAAGGCAGTTAGAAGAGTGTCTAGCACAAAGTCAGCACTTATAAGCATTTGCTATTTTCACTAAAGTCTTTTCTATTAAATCTCTTCTTGCAAGTTATTTCAAAATTCCCCAAATTAAAAATAATACGGACCTAAGAATATTTATCTGTATTCGCGTAACATTTTGAAAGCCAACAGATAATAGTTGAACATAGTATTTAAATACAGAGGTTCTATTAAAAAAGGCAAATATCACCATTGGCTCTAACATTTTCTCAAAAACACATACTAAATTGTTACTCATCTAGATAAAGAAATCCTTAATTCTCAAAATATGTAATAATTATTAGATGGCAGAAAGGAAAGAGACATCCTTAACTTGATTATACCTGATGAGTATATATATTCAGAATAATGATAGCTGAATGGCTGCTTTGTTTTTGCTATACACAAGATTGGGTCATTGGGAGTCAAGACCCAAGGTTGAAAACTACACAGAAATAACAAGGGGATCTCCTGTTAGTAGCAGCTTTCGTGCTGGGTCAACCATTCCCTACCCCATCCTTAGCTGCACCTCAGAATCACCTGGATGGAAAGAAGCTGTTCTAAGCATCTTGTGTAGCCCCAGCCCAAAAGGCAGACCATCTACCTACAGAAAAGACAACACTGACAATAGCAAATACTTATAAGTATGTATCCTGTGCTACAGATCACTAGTTTAGAGATCCCTGCTAATCTCAGTCTGTGGGCTCTAGGTTCTACCACCCACCATCTCAAAGAACACCCATGGTTTACCTCCAGTGAAGCACATCAGAAGCTGGGCTGCCTCAGAGCCTGTGATCACCTATCTCCCATAGGGCTCGACACAGCACAAATGGGGCCAAAGTTATAGTGGTCATCTATATTCTACTAGAGAAGTGTGTGGAACCTCAGAAGGTGGAAGATTAACATGTTCCATAACATACCTGCATCAGATCTCGTTTTTCTTTTTCTCCTGAGCTAATTGCCTTTCTGATAGATTTCAGTTCAGTTAGAATGGCTTTGGCTTCGCTAAGTTCATACCCACTCTGGCCTCCGGACATTTTTTTATCAATTCTGTTAAAAGAAAAATATCAAAGCATGACACAGTACAAATTAAACGAGCAGTAGGAATCGGTTTTGGACTGTCTTAGTTGGCTGATTATTTTACTTCATGACTCTCATACAACACAGGCTGATTGTGTCTCCTCTTTTCTCTTTTAATCAGGTCCAGTTAAGATTTCTCCCATCCCCTACCTCATTTCTAGTTCATTTTCAATCACTTTCAGGCTCAAACAAATACCTGCCTTGTTGTCTTCAGTCTGTTTGGATGATCCTACTGCTAGCCGAACCCAACTCACCACAAGCTGATCCTGATCTCCACTCTGACACAAATAAAGGGCAGAAGCAAACGCTATAGTGGGACAGAAATGTCAATAAATGGCCACCTAATTTACATGCCATGATGTCTGTGTGAAGTCTACCACAGGGCTGGCAGCTGGATAGGCTTTTAATAAATGGTTAATATATAATTATTTATCCTAGCGAGTATCCTAAAATATTTTGGATTTATGCTAATTTCTTTCTCAATATATAAAAATCATTTTTCTACTTTTATTAAAGTTATGAGATGAGATAAAATTGCTTGCCTTGCTGAATAAGTTGACATTTAGGAAAAAGAAAGGCAGATGTGTTGTCAATTCACACTGAGTAAATAGCTCTTCAGTGAGCTAATTTATTATCCCTGCAGATCTGCTTATCAAATGTCCTTACAGTTTACATCACTACCCAAGGCTAGAGGATTGTGTGTAACCTAATTCTTTGTGTTTGAAAGGCTCAATCAAGTTATTTAATTCTTTTTAAAAAATAGTTGAACATTCTCTTCACGGTCACCTTTCTAGTTCCCCCAACCACAATGTTGTCCAGGATTCATTAGGAATACAATTTGAGTTCTACTTGTGGGACTAAGCCTCTATCCCATCTGCCATCAGCTTTGTACACATTCTCAGATGTGATCTGGGTCTTATCCACAGACTCTCCAGAGAAACAGCACCTACTACATCAGAGAAAATGGACTCTGAGTTCATCTGGTTTAAAACATTTAATAATTAATACATATTTTCAATGTGCAAGGTGTTAATTTGGAAAAAACAAAACAATGCTATCTTTTTTTCTGGTACTGGGGATGGAACTTGGGACCTTGCACTTGCAAGGCAGGCATCAGAACCACTGAGCTAAATCTCTGGCCCAAAACAATGCTATCTTAATCACTCCACCAAAATTAACTCAAACAAGTGCAGTTTGCACTTTTCTCTAAGTACTATTTAAGCAAACACTTTATACTACTGAGTAAGCAATTAAAGCCTTTAAAACCTAATAAAATTAATGATCATATAAGGTCATTTCATGATAAAATATAACTAACAAATCCACAGAAATAAATGCACGCACACACACATACACACAGATGCGCGCGCGCACACACACACACACACACACACATAGTGTTTAGGATGGGGAAGGCCCCTAGAAATTCCCAAGCTACATTTTCAAAATGAAAAAACTGAGGCCAGAAACCCTGCAAAAATTTAGCCCCTAAAGTACATAAACACTTAGCTAGTAGGACAATTCTCCTAAAATGATAAATTCTAGCTTTGGGTTCTTATGACTACTACATCTAGAATATTTGATGAGAACAGTGAAATACTTTGAACATTGGGAAGAGAGGTATCAATGAATATTTTGCCTCCTCTAGGTATTATATCCACCAATTCAGTTGAGGCAAAAGTTTATTAAATAAAATTAATGATGTTATTTCCAAATATTGCATTTTGGCATCTTTGTGTACAGTATTTTTTTTTTAAATGGGTACCAGAGATTGAACTCAGGACCTTGCACTTGCAAGGCAGGCAGTGACATTACTGAGCTAAATCTCCGGCCCTGTGTACAGTATTTTTAAAACTAAAAACAAATAAGCAAAAACCAGAAATTATAAGATATTATGAAAAAGCTAGTAATAAAGGTATCTGAAACTATCAGTGAATTTCCAAGCCCAAGTAATTTCTTCCTATTTGTGTAAAATTCTCATAATGTAACAAGGATGAAATATATCTTTGATTCAGAAATAACCTTATCATTTGAAAATAAAAATAAGTTGTGCTCAAAAACAAACTAATATTTAAAAATAAAAGCACAACTAGTTCAGACTCCTAATTTAAATTTCCAAAAGTTTTAAAACTAGATAAATTTTTCTCGTTAATCTACTGGTCCACAGCATGACTCACATGAGTAACCAGTTATCACACTCCACATTCCCCACAAGCCCTTTTGTCTTCCTTTCCCTTTCTTCTGCCCCCTTTGAACTTCTCCCCTTTATTTCAAATGCTGTTTTCCCCCCTTTATTTCCCCGATTCTCCTTTTTCTCCTCCACTTCTTATTCCAACCTTTTCTCTCTTTTCACATAACTGTCTTAAAGTAAAATAAAATAAGGGCATTATTTGCTGGCTTGCTGCTTTCTACTGTGTGTGTGTGTGTGTGTGTGTGTGTGTATGTTTGTGTGTGCATGTGTGGTGGGTACTGAACTTAGAGCTGCCTTGCATGTGCTAGGCAAATGCTCTACCACTGAGCTACACCCAGAGCCTTTTGATGGCTTTTTAAATGAAGTACTATGCTTTTTGTCTTAAGAAGAACTTAAGAAGTACCTATTTTTTTTCTTAAATTTGTTTTAAGTTTGGCTTGTGTGTGCCCTAAAATTAATTTTTACTTTCTGAGTCTCTTGTGAAAGATTTCAATTTGCATGCCTTCTTTGGAAAATGTGTACCTCCAGCGCCAAATTTTCATAGGATCTGTACATGCTTTTGGCTTGCTGAGTGTTTCATCACTTCCCATTTTCCAATTTTGAGAGCATGTTAGAGGTGGCAAAATAGAAATATGCATCTTTCTGGTAACCATCACAAATAAGCTATACTACTGCCTAGGCCAAAGTCAAATTTGAGATTCATTTCAGAACTGAAATGAATAATGTAGGGAATAAAATGATATTTGTTCGTCTAGCATAAAACTATTCTATCAAATGAAATGAAAGTCCAAATTTAAATTACATTATTATTCCAGATTCAACAAAAATATTATATTCTATTATGAATATTTGAAAAATTACAAAAGCCTGCAATGGGATTCTATTTAAATCTTTTCCTAAAATGTACTTTCTGTCATGGTCACAAATAAAAGTCCCTTTCTAGTATTAGGAATGTGGGTTCTTAAAAAGTCTGGTCTCTGGGTTCAATCAATAATTTTTGTTTTAGTAGTAAGGTGGTTAACATTTGAATGAAAACAGCTTTATTTTGTCTACAGTTAAGATGAACAGAAGAGGTCTCTGATGTGAGGTATCCTTCTGCTCTTGGTTCAAGGGATTAAAATCATTCCAAGAGAATGCCTGATTTTCTACAACAAATGTCTATTGTTTTCTTGTGGAATGTTATTGACAGATTGTTAAACATGCCTTAGATTCCTATAAAAATTGCTTGCAAGCAAACTGCTTTGAAACAATACAGCACTGTCACATCAACATAACAAAAACAGCAAGTTTGGCTAACCTTTAATCCTGGGTGGTGATGTGAGTTATAATTTCATGTGCTATAAAAATGTTTAATGCATGGCTAAATATTTTGTGGCACTCTTCAAAGTTTGCTTTCTCTTCCCATCCCTACAACAATGTCCTGCTTTATGCTGATACACAATTACTAAACAACAGACTTGTCTCTAAGTCTGTTGGGTCTTTAGCGGAGCTAGGTTCTTAGAACTTGGCAATACTTGAAAACCACCTGGGACCTCATAAAACATGCCTGGGGTGGAGACCAGAGGCAGATACTTCTTAAGAGCTCCCCAAATTAATAGGCAATCAGATTTGAGAAACACTAGCATGGAAGCATCTGAGAGAACATCAACATCATGATTATGTGAGGCAAGTAGCAAAAAAAAAAAAAGTCATAAAAGCAAATGTCTGACACTAAAATCATGTTTTTGTCTGGTGATCAGGAATAGTAACTGGGCATCCCAAGACACAACTCACCATGAGAACATACAGAACAATCAGCATCTGTTTGGCCAGTGATGCACAGGATCTTTAAGGGTGTAGTGCCTTGCTGCCTTGGACTGTTCCAAATTTCTTAAGCACAGAAAACAGAAAGCACTGCACACAGAAAAGGAACAAAGCTGGGTACTTTCCAGAGGTGGTTCCTGAGAGCAGTTTGACATTCCCTTGATGCTGTTTTGGGGAGATATGAGAAAGAAATCTGCCTGAAACTGATCAAGCAAGCCTTAGACACACTACACCACCAATGGTGGCACGAAGCCTTTGCCAGGTGGGAAAGACACAAAAAACAGCTGAGTGTCTTTCAAGGGATGACATCTTCTACCCTATTTGTGGTCATATGGCTGTGAAAACCACAGGCTTCTTCTCCTCCATGACAGGCCTCTGGCTAGGGAACAAGGAGGAGAGAAAACATCTCAACCATGTCTTTCATGGTTTGGGTGGGGGGTGGGGGTCTAATTAGCAGAGAGAGCAGTAGTTGCCAGGTCAGGGAATGGTGTGGTGATTTTGAGAACGTGCTATACACTCCCTCATCTACATTTTCTTTGAATCTGGCCTAGCCTAAAACTATTTCAATGGTCTATCAGATTTGACAACTGAAATGGAAAGAATAGAAGGAAAACAGGAAAGAGGATCAAGCTCCTTTGTGGAAACCTAAAACTTTCTCTTGCTCTTTTGAGATCAGTCACAGGAGACTCAATAGAGTATCCTCAGTCCAGTTTCCAGTGCAGAACATGAAGAGGTCTTCCTGTGCCTATCTCCTTAGTTCTCTACTACCTTTTTAGAAGAGGCTGGCAGGGGTCCAGGAGAAAAAGTTGTTTTTCACTTTGGTTTCTTCAGGTCTCCAATGATTAAGAAAAACTTGAGAGATTTCAAAGTATATAGATTTTTCTCAAGTTTTTTTGTTGTTAGTTGATTGCTTTTTTGTGTTTTTGGTACAAAGCTTTGAGCTTTTTGCTTTATGTTTGAGAAATCTCTTATGTAATCTGTACTTCTATTTTCCTTGTATTAGTTAGGGAGCTTTGAATTATTGTAAAGTCAATTTCAATATTTTTATACTTACTGTTGCAATGTTTCAAAGCCTTGTTCTTTATAGAGCAGTTCTTGCTTCATCTGTGAGAGTTCTCTCTTTAGCTTTTTAACCTTTATGAGAAATCAACATAAATATTATTTGTAAACAATTAGCAACACAGTGTATTATTTTAAAGGCACAAACAATTAGCAACATAGTATATTACTTTAAAGGATAATATAAATTATTAAACACATAAATCCATTATTTTAAATACTTTTCACCTCATCAGTTTCTTTACATAAATTCTATAGAAGGCCTATTCACTGTTTAAATTATCAGTGATGTATACATAATTACCATTATTTACTGTTATGATCATAACAGCAACATTCTCTCGAGGGAGACATAACCATGGTCTTGGTTTGCGGTCAAAAGCCAACCAGGGGCAGTCAGAACATCAAGCCTGTGTTCTCTCGCTCTAAAAGCCTGTACTCTTCCCCTTACTCGCTGTGCTCTGAACCACGGCCCCCCCCCCCAAACACCCTGGCTGATATCTGCCTCAGTGTTCCTGCTCATGCTGGTGCCCCTGCCTGGAGGCTCTGTCCCAGGCCTTCAGTGGTTGGCTCCTTCCGAGTCACTTTAGTCAACCCAAACATTACCTTTTCATTAGGATTTCTCTAACCATCCTACCCATGCCATGGCTTTGTTTAATTTACTCCGAATATTTTTCAATAACAGAAAATGTGTACCTTTGTATTGCCTGTCCCCTTAATACAGAGGTCAGCTGCATCACACTAGCCGTATCCCAAGTGTTTAGAATAGTACCAGGCAAACAGTTGGTGATCAATAAATATGTGTTGTCAAACTGGCAAAAATATTTTTTCAATCCGACGCTCTCCCCAGCCGCGACCAGCCTGGTGAGACAAGCAGCTTGAAGCTCCGCGGCCATCCTGGGCCCCGCCCAAGCCAGGGTGAGGTCCGCTTAGCAGCACGGGCTCCTCCAATGCCCAGTCCGTCCCCGTGCCCCACCCCCAACCCCCGGATGCCTCTGGCCTTCTGGCTTTTCTGCTACCTGGTCCCACACTACAGAGGCACAAGGGATTATAAAGACCCTTGTCCTGAGCGCCACAAGATAGAGCAGAAGTTAGTAACAGAAAGAGGGCTTCTCAGGCTCCTCGATGAAAACTGAAGCCCAGCGGAAAAGTAAAGAGAATCTCTACAATAAAGGCACATCAGACCACTGTACTTGGTCTGCTGCTGGCTTGCTGAGACTCATTGACTCGTACATGCACACGGATTCCTACGTTGCCTACTGTGACAGCAGAGACATACCCAGAAGGAGGCCCATAATTTTTATTTTTTGCTATTTGCAAAAAAGAAAAAAATTTTTTTCTCTTATTTTTAATTCTTAATTTTTACTTTTTTCTACTCATCAAATTTTTACTTTTCTTTCTTTTCTTTATCTTTTCTTTTTCTCTCTCTCTCACTCTTTCTTCTTGCTGTCCCACATTGCTCCTCATCTCCCCATTTGTTCCTTTCTGCACTGAATTTGGATTTCTCCTTTATTGTTCTTTTCTTCTCTTTTTCCTTCTCTTGATTATCATTAGGTTTAAAGGAAAATAAATTCAGTATCTAGCCTCCCTGTTGCTGTTAGGTGATTCTATTCACACCTTTGTTCTTTCATTCTGCCTTTTTCTCTTGCCTTTAACAACTTCTTAGAGTTTGTGTGATCTTTCTGTGTCTTCTGGCCTCGCCGCTAATCTTACCTGTTCTTTCTCTACCTGTCCCTCCCTCCCCAACTCCTTTTAACTCCCCACCCCAAAGGGAAAGATGCTATATTGAAGAGTTTATTCATTATAAACTTATGTTGGGTTGTTCCTCGGTTTTAATTTAACTCACATAGTTAAATGTGATAGATTAATAACTACCACAAATTGTCATTTTCTAAGCTGTGCTTGATGCTATGATATTGCTGACTATGTCATTTGGGCCAACATGCTGTGATTGATCTAATTAGTTTTCCTTCCTGGTATAAGGAAAATAAAATAGCCTCAGGGTCATTAGAGTCTCAAACCCAAAAACAAGCTATATCTGGAAGACATCTCTGAAAAGTAATCATTCCACAAGGGTTTTAAACACAAGCAACAAAGATACCTATATTAAGCAATTTTGAAATATCAACCCACGAATTAAACCATGGACAGTACCAAAAACAAAAATGAGAAGACACTTAAGCAAGGCACAAACACAGGCTTCCACACCACAAAAAGGAAATTCTAGGGGAAATGAGGTGGAAAAGTCTGACAAGCAACCACTTGGACACCCTGAACTGATAGCACAGGAAGTAACAAAGCAGACCGCATGAGGCTCAAGAAAAATTCAAAACAGAAATAATCTCCCAGATAACTACAGAGATGGTGATCAGAGTGAAAGACATGATTAGAGGCTCTAGAGTTGAAACAGATAAGAAAATAGATGAGATCAGAAATATGCTGGAAGCCATGAATGCCCACCATAAGAAAGAAATGGAAACCATGATCGCCCAACATAAGAAATAAATGGAATCCATGAAACAGATTCAAACATTCAGGAGATTAAAAACTCCACTGAAAGCATGCAGAGCAGACAAAGAGAATCTGAAGACAGAATATCAGATATAGAAGATAGGATCGCAGTTAAGGACCATGAAAACAGAGATTTCTTAAAGACAGTAAGGAACCATGAGAAATCAATCCAACAGCTGTTAGATGATGCAAAGAAGAACAACATAAGACTGATAGGAGTCCACAAAAAAACAGGAGAAAGTACAATTGACACAAAAAACTGTTCACAGAAGTAACAGTAGAAAACTTCCCAGACAGAGGTAGAGAAA